GTTGTTGTAGTACGTACTACGACAACAACAACAACAACTACTACTACTACTACTACTACTACTACTACTACTATACTTCTGCTACTGCTACCCTTCTAGACGCCTGCATAGAGATCTTAAAGTAAGCCTGTCAAAGCAAAGCAAGATCCCATGCGACCGAAATTGACCTCCGGGTCGTAATCCTATCGCCCGAAGCCCTCAACCCAAACCTCAAACCCAAATCCTAAACCTTAAACCCTACAGACCCTACACAGGTGGCTCTGAGGGCGCTGGCGTGGGACGAAAGCCCATCGTCATAGCTGACGAACAGGTACCTGGGGATTGGAGTTTGGGTAAAACCCTTCTAGAGATCTTTGCAAACAGGTGTCCGGTGGTTTGATTATATGTAAACCCCATTCCCACAATCAGGACTAGTTGTGAAAGCATGCCGCTAGCATTGAGCCATTGAGCCTTACACCGTTCCTAATTACCCGACACTAGAAATCACATTACAAGTTTTCAGCCTAGCCTAGCATTGAATCTCGAAACACCGAACCAGCCATTCCCTAGGACTTGGAAACACGCTAATATAAGAACCCGAATGCCAGGAGAGAAGGCTTCAAGTGAGGGGGGGGGGGGTTGAGGAACTGTTAGTATCGGACAAGGACAAAGTAGAAAACTACTATAAATGGTGGCATGGATACTCCTGCTACTCCTGCTTCTGGTACTGCTGCCACCACCACCTAGCTGGCCTCGATAAACCTTCTAGAAAGCACGGCTGTGCAGTGCATGGGGTAGGGTTGTCGAAAAAGAAGCAGGGACTTCAAATTCGATTTCGGCATCCCCAAATGTTTTGAAAACATCTGGGCACCCGTCGCTGTACTCGATCCCTGCAACGTGCTTGTCGCCCTGCACGGGGTTTCGGGTTTTAGGGCCTTCGGGGTCTGGGTTTTGTTGGAGGGGTGGGATATGATCAGGACTCAGCAAAGCATTAATCAACACCCTAAGCCCTCGACCATGTATAGCCCTAGACGATAGACTTACAGACACTAAACAAATCAAGAGTGTAGAGGTTATAAGGCCTGTAGAGAACTACCTCTTGAAATGTTTCAGAAACCCTTATGGAAGCCATCAAACCCGATTGAGCCCTGACCAAAACGCAGACAAACTTCGAACCTCTAAAAAAACCCTAAACCCTAAANNACCCTAAACCCTGCAACCCAAAACCTGTAATACCGTTTTGTAGCTCTCACGACCCCTTTGCAGTAAAAACCCTACAAAACTGAAAAACACTGTAGCTAAGCCCTGTGAAACACTCACGATCACTTCTTGCAGGGTTGGGGACTTAGTAAGTAGATACGTTCTTTATAGACGTATAAGTATTATGACCTGAATTAGGATCCCTGTTAGGGTACTCATAACTCGACTGACTACCCGAAACCCAAAGCCAGCCCGCAACCCTAGACCCTAAACCCCAAGCCCTCACCGCTAAACCCTAAACCCTATACACCCTAGACCCTAAACCCTAAGCCCTCAACCCTAAACCCTAAAACCTATAGACCCTAAACCCTAAACCCTAAACCCTAAGCCCTCAACCCTCAACTCTAAACCCTATAGACCCCAGACCCTAAACCCCACAATCTACTTACTAAGTCCCCCGACCCTCCAGGTTCGCAGTAAGGAACCCAGCAGCTGCCCCAACTACACGGTTAGGGTTTAGGGTTTAGGGTTTAGGGTTTAGGGTTTAGGGTTTAGGGTTTAGGGTACCAATCCTCTGCTCTCTTTGTTTTTTGTGTCGGTTTAGGCTTGGGGTTTAGGGTTTAGGGTTTGGGGTTTAGGGTTTCGGGTTTGGGGTTTAGGGTTTAGGGCTGATACTATAGGGGCTTAGGGTTCAGGGGTTCTTCACGTGTCGGGAACTATAGGGGTTCTCTGAATTAGGGTGCCTTCGAGGGTTTTTTTTTTTATACGGGTGCCGTACTACTTTCTGGACCTACAATAGGACCCTAATTCAAAGAACTACCCCAATTCAAAGAACTACCCCATATTTTTTTGTTGCCCTCTTTTGCTTCAGCAATCCGCGTCTGGAATTCATGAGTCTAGGTTTGAACGACTGTACAAAAGAGGGAGCTTGAAGGCCATACAGAGTTTGCGCAAGACTCCGGTGTTTTATGGTTCAGTGGTAAGGCCCATGGTGTCTAAATCAACCCAAACCTACTGAACTGCCGGATCACTAAACATGCTATACTGGAGTTTTTTTCGTAGGGCCCCTAGAAGCTGTATGAAAGTAAGCTGTGGTAGTTTCAGGTGCGACATATAGACCTCTGGGGCTTTATGTAATGTAGGGGCCTTAATAATTAGAATGGGCTCCTTCATAGTATAGTTATATCTACCCCCCCGCCCCCCAAACTAGTCTTGGTAATTATTCAAGCTCCTATAGTACCCTGAACCCTAAACCCTAAACCCTGCTCGTATAGTAACCATATCTTATATATTTCGGCCTTGATCCTCTCAGGCCTAAGCAGCCTAAGCACATACTGTCGGCACAGGGGCCCTCGGGGAAATGCAGAACCCTGATGAAGCCACGGTTTAGGGTTTAGGGTTTAGGGCTTCCCTATCCCACAGGATCCAAAATCACTCGGATTCTCCTACTATGGCCCTCAGAACAGCATGCCTCGCCAAGGACGTCTACATCGCATTAGGGCCCCAAGCCGCGAAAACAGGACGCCCGGAACCCCTACCCCGCGACCCTTAAACCATAAAGCTTAAACCCTAAACCCTTCAGCCCGAAACCCCAAACCCCCAACCCCTAAACCCTAAAACCTGATCCCAGGATCCCAAACACTAAACTCCTAAGCCCTGAACCCGAAACCCTAAACGCATAAATCCTTAAAGCCTTAAAGTTGATTCAAGAACCTGAAAAGGAGCCCTTAAAGGAGCTCTTAAAGGAACCCCTTTTAACAGAATCCTTGCAAGAGCCCCTAAAGGAGACCTTTAACTTAGAGGAGCCCTTATCTTACTTCCCCAATAAGCCAGGGGAGTAAACGGTTAAACTTTCAGGTTACTGAAAAGCTATAAGAACACCAAGGGCTTAGGGTTGAAGGTTTAGGGATTTTAAAGGCTGGATATTGGGGAACTAAGTTATCCACCCTGAACCCTAAACCCCAAACCCTAAAAACCCAAAACCCAGGAAACCCTTAAAACCCTAAACCCTAAACCCTAAACCCTAAACCCTACACCCTAAACCCTAAACCCTACACCCTACACCCTAAACCCCTAAACCCCAAAAACCCAAAAGGGGACCCAGGGGCCTGGAGGGGCGTCCAGATCTTGATCGACTCTGCCGGAGCCTGGAGGAGGTGCAGAGAGGGGTTTAGGGTTTAGGGTTTAGGGTTTAGGGTTTAGGGTAGTTGTCAAAATTATGGTCCCGTTTTGGGTCCTTATTATAATACGGCACCTATTATTTAGGGTACCCCAAAAGGGACCAAAATTTTGACAACAACCCAGATGGAGCATCATAGGTTTCAAGGGGTATAGAGTATAGGTTTTAGGGTTCAGGGTTTAGGGTTTGGGCTTTAGTGTATAGGTTTCAAGGGGTACCTGTATCCCCAAACCCTACGAAATAGTAGGTTATGAACCCTTAACTAGAGGGTCTAACCCTTAAGACGGTAGGTTTTTGGATCCACAGGTAGAGTATAGGCTTTAGGGTTCAGGGTTCAGGGTTTAAAGTTTGGGGTTTGGGCTTTAGGGTATAGGTTTTAGGGTTTAGGGTTTGGGCTTTAGGGTTTCGGGTTTAGGGGGTAGTGTATGGTGTAGTACAGCGTGGTATGGCATGGTATAGTATAGTGCCGCTAAGCACGGTATGGTAACCAGTATGGTATAGTATAGTCTATTCTAGTATACTATTAGACTACAGAACGGCACAGTACAGCACAGGGTAATAATAATGCGACATATAGCATAGCATAGCATAGCATTATATGGTGTAGAATAATGTAGGGGCCTGAATACTAATAATTTGAACACGGTTTTTTTTTTGGGGGGGGGCTCCTCCTTATCATAATTATAGTAAAATATACCCCCAAACCCCATTCGAGTTATTAAGGTCCTAAACCCTATGTGTTTCGGCTCATCTTTTGTGTTGGGGGGTTGGTGCTCAGCGTTTCGGGACTGAAGGGGAATCCTACTTCATGGCACGCGCCCGGGACATTAAACTCCAAGGAAACCGTTTACCCTAAACCCTAAAAGCCACGCCCTAAACCTTAAACCCTGAACCTAAACCCTAAACCCCAAAAGCCACCCCGTAAGCCGTAAACCGTAAAAAGCCGCGCTCTGAGAAATGAAGCCTATGCTCAGCACAAAATCCCAAGCCCGCAAAATGCCCAAGCCAGAAACAAAGCTCAAAAACTTAAACCTTAGACCCTTAAACCCGAAACTCAAACCCTTAAACCCCAAACCCTCAAATTAACACTGCTACAACCTAAACTCTAAACCCTTAAACCTCAAACCCTTAAACACTAAAAAGCGACTCCCTCTGCCAGCCTTGGGACCTTCGTTGACGAGCAGTGGAGCCTCGTAGATGTAGACCTCACCTGGGTGCTTCTAAGGTCTCCTTATTATAGTTTACTAAAGGGCTCAGGGGTGTTAGATTTTGGGGTGTACCTGGGTGATTCTAAGGTCTCCTTATAGTTTACTGAAGGGCTCAGGGGTGTTAGGGTTTCGGGTTTAGGGAGAGGTTGTAATTTCGGGGTTGCAAAGTCCGCTAAGTGCGGTACTCCTCATTCTAGCCTTGCTTGGAAGTTTTATGTACCTTTTTTGGCGGCCTTTCTCCTCAACCTCCTAGCCCTGGTGTGATTGAACTCGTAGTAATGTAATGATGACGGGTGTTGGAGACAAGAGAGTCCGAACTTCATGATAGCGGCAATGATAAAGGGTGGTGGTGAGAATCAACATGACGGCGATGACGAGGACGATGGTGATGACGACGAAGATGGTGGTAATGAGGAGGAGGAAGAGGAGGAGGAGGAGGGAGAGGAGGAAGAGGACGCGGAGGCGGACGCAAAAGAGGACGTTGATGCTGCTGATGTACATACCTGACCATCTAGGTTCATCGACGAGGATCAGGGAGAAGTCGTCCAGCATCAAGTCTACAATGTTGCTTTATGAGTTTTATGGCGTCACGATTATCGCAAACTGCGCTCCAACCAAGCACTGAACCCAATCCCAATAAATCAATATCTTCATGAGCGGCGATTCAAACTCAGGGATCGCAATGTTGGGCTACATAGTACGGATCTGTCGACTTCGCAAATGACTGTCGAACTGAGCCGTGCCACCAAAATGCTGAACCTATGAGCCACCCAAAGCAATAGACACTGATTCCAGGAAAGCAGAGCTCAGCAGTAGAAAGTGTCCGGGTTCCCGAAGTAACACGTAGTGATAAGTAACGATACGTTCGTTTCTATACTATCCACCCCAGAAACGAAAGAATCAAAAGGTTACATTTTCAGGAAGGTATTATTAATCTGTGTTTTTATTTATTTATTTAGTCATTTGTTTCTGTATCATGACTGTAGATTACTGTACTAGCCAGTTACGGAGACACTACATTCCACTACGGCTTAAACCCTTGATACAGAACCCTTAAAGGAGCCCATGATATAAGTGAACCCTTGGAGGAAGCTTTATAGATAACTGTAAACGACCACCCCAACGGCGTAAACCCTTGACACAGAACCCTTAAAGGAGCCCATGATATAAGTGAACCCTTAGAGGAAGCTTTGTAGATAACTGTAAACGAACCCCTCTCACAGGGGACGCTGGCTGTTTAGAGCACCGGGCATTGTCTTCATTGAAGCACTTAAAGAGTGAACCAATTAGGGTTCAGGGTTTAGGGGNNAGACCCGAACATTTAAAAAAAAACATGCAAGGGTGGTGTTGAGGGCTGTAACTGCCCTTGACCCGAACATATCGGTTCAGAATAGTCACTGAAGCGTCAACGGCCTAGCATTGAGTCCTTTATAAAAGCCTTTGGAAAAACTACGCCTACGTCAAAGCCTACCTGAACCTTACAAATTATGCTGATGGTCTTTTGATTGGAACCCGTGTCGCGGTGCTAGATTTTTTTCCCGAAAGCATCGCGAAGGGTTCTTCCGTGCGGAGCCCCGCAGAGAAAATACATAGAGAATACATGGGGTCAAGTACACTTGACTTTACGAACACTTGACTTTATGACATTTGACTTTACCACACTTGACT